GAGAAAAAAATAAAGGTGGGATGGAGTCTCGCCAAGGTGACCGTCCTAAGCCGGCGCGCGCACTGCTTCAAGTGCATGGAGAGGGGGCACGCGGCGGCGCGTTGCCCGGCTAAAGAAGACCGAAGCACCCTGTGCTTCCGGTGCGGGGCAGCGGGGCACAAGGCGGCGATGTGTGCTGCCCCCGCCAGATGTGTGGTGTGCGCGGCGTGTGGTCGGCCGTCAGACCACATAATGGGGAGCGGGAGGTGTGACCCGCCGGTCACAAAAGGGAAGCCTCCCGAACGTTTGGCCTCTGAGGCGGCGCCCGGACGGACGCCCTCGGAGGGGGGGATGTCCGAGTAGCCTAGGCCGCTCGGACCCCCCAACTTAACCACCCGCGTCTCCTCTCCCTTCTCTAAGGAGAAGGGGCGAGGAGAGGCGGGTGACAGAGAGAGGAGTGAAGGATGGGAGATCGCTCCCCCTCCCACTCCCCCAGGAACGGCGACCCCCCTTCTTGCAGTTCTGATCTGCAAAGGGGGGGTGGCGGAGAGCTGTACGGGTACTCCTGTACAGCCATCCGCAGCGGATGGGAGGCGGTATGGTGGGCAGTAGGCCGCGTACCCAGCCCCCACGCGCGGGCCTACCTGCGCACGTCTGCGGGGTCCCCGAAATACCGCGGGAGACCCCTGCCGTGGAGCCCCGGCGAGGCCGGGAAGCTGCTGGGGGTGGAGCCGTGGTAGACTCCCTAAACGGGGATCCCGCGGCTTCGCGCTAAGCAGTGTAGAGGTATTCGCAGGACTTTTTTAGCGGATATTATACCGTAAAGCGCCCGTAAGAGTTGCGGGGTCCTCGGTGGGTAGCCACTGGGGGGTCCGTAATACTTGCGGGAGCCAGGTGTGAGGTCCGTTCGGCGGTGTGCCTCTTAAAGGCGCCGTCGTCTGTAAAAAGATTTTTTACCTGTGTAAAAAAAAAAAAAAAAAGGGTAACGGATAGAATACATATACTGTACATATATAAGTATATTTATATAGAAAATACATATTAAACATCCATGACTGGAGTGCAAATGCTCGTATTCATCACACAAACATCTGCCCCCACCGGGATTTGAACCCGGGACCTCTCGAGTCGGCGACACCATGAAACCCGGCGTACAAACCACCATCGATGTTACTATTAATGTTGTTTTCGAAGGAATTTTTAATAGGTAAGAAATTTTCTTTAACCAAAATTGAACGATTATTACTCTTAAACTAACAAATCTATCTTAACTGTTATGGTTTTCCTCAAAAAGTTTTTAAAAGTTCATGAAAAGAACTATTATCATGATTTTTTCCCGGATTTTCAAACTAATAGATTAGCTTTTAGAGTGGGGGGACGCCCTGCTCGAACAAAAATTAGCACTTCAAGTTCAATATTTCGCAAACGGATCCCTAATTAGAAAACTAGTCTTAGGAACTCCTAAGTAATTTTAAAGGACCTATTCAACGATATCCCACACGATGGGGTAGATGATGAAAAAAAAACATCCCCAGGTTACATGTAGGAGAGCTACCCAAAAAAATATGCGGTCGGCTTGATTAATATACATATCTCCACAAAATTACAGCTCTCTAGTGCTAATAGTCTTCAAGCAAAACTGGGGACGGACAGACGGACATGACGAAACTATACATGACTAAACATAGGTTCACAGAACCCTAAAAAGGACTTAGAAAATTAAAAACATCGCTTTGAAAAAACGTATTTTGAATTAGATTGTGTGGTTCAGACTATATCTCTCCGCCTTTCTGTTAATGACATCGGTATGGAAAGGAGAGTTTGTGAATTGTTAAAATATTTCGAGTGTTTGAGGTTTGTTCTGTGTAACGTGCGTGATTTCCAAAATCCAGATATAAATAAGCTTTTGTTAACTAGTCTTGTGAGAAGCTCATTAGAGACCAATGTATGTGTCTGGAATCCTCATGAGGCCAAATACAGACTAATGTTAGAAAAAGTTCAAAAGGCTTTCTTCGCTATTTCTATAAACGGATTTATGGCTATTATCCCTTTATGTACCCTACTAAGTTCTTGCTGGGAATTTTGGGGATGAATTCTTTAGAGATCAGGAGAGTTCGGATGGCAATTTCAACCGCTTTAATGGTACTGCCTGAGTGTGTTGAGCAATTATCTCGCTTATACGTGCCGGATAAATATTTACGTATTCGTTCAGGGGGTCAATTGCCTAAATAGATTGCTATGGCTACCGCTATCGCTTACGATTTTATTTTGTTATTTCTGACCCCCGAAGGTTTTTAAATACCTTACCCTCATTTTCTTTAATATTGTTATTACAAATACAAAAGAAAAAATACGAACTCGAGGCATTTCAAAACCTTCAGCGATCAGTAATAATAAAAAAAAATATCGTAAGCGATAGCGATAGTCATAGCAATCTCGTTAGGCGATTGTCGTAAACATAGGCTATTCGCACCTCCATTGTCCCGTACTGATGCTTGAGACTCTTAACGCACTCAAAAATCGATTGTGAACAAAATATAATTCTCTTTGTAAAATTAGTACTGAATGCGCATTGTATCACACACACCTAATTATGTAATTGGGTTTGGCCCGTATAGTTATGTTAAATAAATAAATAACAAAATTATCGAACAAATTACAGTTACCTAATTCACGTCTACGTAAGCGTTGTTCAAGTCTTGATAACACTTAAAAGTTCCAAACTAACTTGTTGCAAATCCCTTTTGTTTAACCGACATCTCCAAATAGCGGAACCTCCGGATATCATACAAACTGCTATAGGTGTGGATGGATACTGTAGGGTAGCGGATGCGGCTGACGCAGCGGTGTTTGGCCAGGGTCAACATTGTTAGCGGGCCCTCTTGCGGCGAACGTTATTACATGATTAACCCCACCGACACGTCTATTCGACCTCGCTCGCTTATTAATTGCCCTCTCAATGCGGACTATAATATTATTTATTGCGCAATCCACGATAGCGTAACATTATAATCATCATTATCTATTATATTTCTCTATTTCCCTTGATCACGCCTTATCTTAAGAACGACATAATTGATATCGATTTCATTCATATTTTTTACGTTATTACGGAAAAAAACAAAATTTTGCGTGGAAAATTTAAGCTATAGATGGCGCTGCAGATGGGTTTAGTTTTTGAAGTTATACTTCTTTAGGCGCGTTATGAAAAAATGATAAGAGTGAAATTTTTAGATGCGCGCGCATCACTGTAACCCAAAAGTAACAGCATAAAGTTGGCCGCGGGCGCGTTATGAAAAAATCATGTGAGTGAAATTTCGAGATGTGCACGCATCACTGTAACACAATAGTAACACCATGAAGTTGGCCGCGGGCGCGTTATGAATGTTAGTATCTAATAATGGTGGATTATTAACCACTTAGTGGTTAATAATCCACCATTATTAGACATCTGTTCGAAAGGTACTTTGAACGATCCACGGAGCTCCATAAGATGATCGCGTTGTCAAAAACAATGTTGGCACGCTCGTCGCCTCTGATCACTGTTTTCATATTTATAATATTTATCCACATGTTTCTAGTTTCTATATAGACACAACGTGTTTTAGTTATTTACAAGTGCTAATTACATATGGACTAATAACTTAAATTCAGTAGTGATTTTAATTGAATATTTTGAATATTTATTTAATTTTTCAAATTAAAACTGAACTTAATTGACTGTGTTAACTATCCTTTTCCAGTCCTTTTATTATTTTATTGTAATTATTAATTATTTGCATGCAATTAAAAAATATTTTTAATGATGCTAAAGAAGTATAACTTCTCACGCGCGTACATAAGTTACACGCATCCATTTTTTTATTTTTATCGGGCAGGACACAACAACGTCTTTCGGGTCCTTGACGCTCTGCCACCTCCATATGGGATAATTATATCTTAAATAGGTAAGGACGCTATTTATTTTACAGTTTTAAATGCTTTACCGTAGAGAAAAAATAATTCTTGATAATTCTCAAGTAATTTATTATATATCGCACCTTTAGAATTGAAGTGTCTTAAATAAAAAAAAGCAAAATGACTTTTAAACGTGAAACGACATAAAAACATATATTCTATCAGTTTATTAACTAGCAAACCAGTGAACCAAATGTTCACCAAAACCTGATTTCTCGAAAACCGGAAGTGCTACGTTACTCAAATCCGGTTTGTAGTCTTATCAGACTATTCTTAACTTATAACTTAAATATTCTCTTTATCTATCTCTTACGGTTTGGCCGCTGAAACAGCACCACAGACAGACGGACTTGTCTAATAGATAAGAGATAATAAAAACACGCTCTTTTAGGCCGGAAAAAGACAAACGTACTGTTTCCGTCTCTTTTAAATGACATGCATACCGCGCCTCTCTCAGTATTGAAGTACCCCATTCAATGTTGCGTAGACATTTATTATTTTCATTTTCCTTAAATTTAGAAAATCATTAATTATTAAACTAGCATATTACAAAATTGGTCATCTATCAAAAATATAACATTCGAAATGAATCGCCTCTATATGTATATATGTTGTGTAGTAAAAAATGGGCACAAAGTGATATAAGCCAATTATAATAAACTCTTTTCGGAAATTAAGTGACATATATTTTTTTTGTGATTAATTAACAAAGGTTCTTACACAAACTGGTTTAGTAAACAATCATGAAAACAATGCCTATCCTACCATGAACAATAAAAAATATGTTAATAAACGTATAACTTATAGCATTATAATAGAAAAACAAAAAAATACCAACTCTTCAATCACATTTTTAGCGTTTACCAAAAAACAAGAACTTTGGATTAGGTCACTTCAATTCTAAAGGTGCGATATATTTAAAATAATGGATTATTTTTTTGCCGGAACTGGTAGGTACTAAAAACATACTAAATTAAAACGATTTATACCTTTGAGCAAACACCACAACTTTGTAGGGTCACATTTTTTTTTATTTTTTTTTTTCGATATGATAATAAACTCACCTTTATCGAACTAAAGAAGTGTTGTCGATGTTCAAATAAAGGTTAAACTAAACAATGGAGATCTGGTGGCTATAGCGGGGCCGCACTGCATCGCACCGTGAGAGCGGTCGCCTCAGGGTGGAGCACGTTCGCGCCACTATCGGTGCTCTTCATCAATCGATCCTACTCCTCGTGCGGCCAACGATCCTCAGCCAGCCCAACCACTGGGGCCTATAGAAACAATGTTTTTTGATATTCGTTTTTTATGATGGATTATACACAGTCAGGTCATAAGTGTTGTCACACAGTAAAAACTTCTCTTTTAGAATGCTGGCCACAAAAAAGTTTATTGAATTCGAATTTCGAATTGTTCATGAAAATAAAAATGTATACTTTTTAGAATTTTACTCATTTTTTAATATGGCGTGTGGACGCTTAAAGAAGAACGTGTTGCAGTTATTGCGTTCCATCGTTACGGTTACGCGCCAATTAAAAATTTTTACATGCTGAAAATTTTTAATATAACTAAAAGATTTGTTTATCGTACCATCAAACGATACAATGAAGACTCTAGTGTAGATGACAGGTCAAGAAGTGGTCGCCCTCGGTCTGTTACGACTCCAGCAGTGATAAAAGCTGTGAAGGTGCGAATTCAAAGAAATCCCAAACGTAAGCAGAAACTGTTGGCCCTTCAGATGGGGTTAAGCAGAACCACGGTGAAAAGGGTGTTAAATAAAGACTTAGGGCTTCGGGCATATCGAAGAAAAACAGGACATCGTTTGAATGCTCGTTTAATGGACCTGAGACTGAAGAGATGCCGCACTTTGTTGAAGCGGTACGCCGAAAAAAAATATCGGGATATTCTTTTTTCAGGTGAAAAAAAATTTACCACACAGTAGTAAAGAAGCGAGTAACCGTATTCCGCGTGTCCAACGAGGTCATTTTCCATCCTCGCCCATGGTATGGTTGGGAGTTTCTTATTAGGGATTAACAAATATGTTTATATATATAGGCCTCTCTCAGCCTATATATATATACATAGCCTCTATATATATATATATATATATATATATATACACACATCAAAAGTGTCTAGGGATCAACATATATTTTTGCAATAACTTTTCTCCTGATTGATATTAATTAAAATTTTCTTTAAGGATTCATCAAATAAAGTGTTTTCGTTTGTCACAGTAACGATAAACCAAGTCACCTTTGCATTAATAAAGAAATTTGCCATTTTCCTAATAAAGGGATTTTTGACATTTGAACCACTAACACAAAAGTTCGAAAAAAAGACTGAAATAACAGTTTTCTCTAAAATTTTATTGGGTAACTTAAACAATTAATAATCCGTATTTCTACCGCGAACACTAACAACACAAGAACATCGGTTTGGCATACTCAAAATGAGTTCATCCAAATCACGCTGTGGAATGGCCGCCCATGTTCGTTGCAACAACAAAAAAAGGTCTTCTTGCGACTGGATACCCTCCATATTCGGCAGAGCTCTTCTCTGTAGCATATCCCATGCATGCTCAATCGGGTTCAAGTCTGGCGACTGAGCAGGCCAGGGCAGGACATTGATGTTAGCTGCGGCGAGAGTCTGTCTTACAACTCTTGCGGTGTGCGGTCGTGCATTATCATGCATTAACTGAAATAAGGGACCGATTTGCACTTGTAGAGGAACGATGACGTCTGATACAATCGTCTCAGCATAAATTTGAGCGTTGAGGTTGCCTCTGATCCAAATCAACTCAGTTCTTCCGCCGATCCAAATACCCGCCCATACCATGATGGTTCCACCACTATAAGGATGGACTTCCTGGCAGGATTTTAATCGCTGTTGGCGTCCAGGGGTTCTCCAGTGTCGTATACGTCTTGTATCCGGTCTCATACCAAAACGAGACTCATCAGAAAAGCACACGAAACGCCATTGTTCTTCTGCCCAATTTCTGTGTTCAAGAGCCCATTGATATCGAATCCTACGATTGTGCATTGCTATAGCTCTTCGAGTTAAGATTTGAATGTATCGGTCTTGTCTCCGTGTGGTGCAGCGATACCGTCCTCCATGGCGCTCAGCCACGGTACCAGTGCTTCGGTATCGTGTCCAAAGTCGACTGATAACACTCTGACTTGTATTCAGAGCTAAAGCCACAGTACGTTGCCGGGAACCAGCTTCTATCATTCCCACGGCTCTGAGCATTTCTTCCCTGCTTAAATGACGTCGCCACTCCATAATAACGTTGGTTTTAATCAGTAGTAGGGAAACAGTAGCACTAATAATGTCTTCAATGCGTTGTATGTTTTTATAGGGAAAATATTGACAGCTGATTTTCATCTTTTACTCGAATTTGATTCACAGTTCCTGATTCAAATTATGAAATGCACCAAAAAGGATCCATATAAATTTATAAAATCATAAATTTATTACAAAGCCACATCTCAATCTCAAGAAATCCGCATAAAAATGCTTGATCCCTAGACACTTTTGATGTGTGTATATACAGATGGAAATAAAGAACTTTCACTTCAGTCATGTGGTCATAGGCACACTCGTTTTTTTTATATTTTTATCAGGCAGGACAACGTTTGTCTTTCTGCTAGTTTACTAGGTAATTGTAAAATTAGTCATGTAAACCTAGTGCAAAATAAACCAAAACAGTTTATGAAGTCAAGATCTTGAATGATTGCGACTTCAGTGTGTAATTTGTAGGTACTAGTGACATGCATAAAGAAGGTAACCGCTCTGTGTGACATGGGCCAATGGAAGTTAAGCGCCTGCAGACGAGAGATGATGGTAGTGGGCAGGACTGGATTTAAGGTAGGGCAGGCGGGGCTGTGGCCCAGGCCCCACACTGGGGAGGAGGTGGTGCAAATCGTAAGTGGTCCAGCAATGAAGAAGTTGTGGCCACATATTTCAAAAACCTGGTACCACGGGCCACTTACGATTTGCACCTCTAGTGGTGTAGTGATTCCCGGGCCACAGCCCCCGCCTGCCCTGCCTTAAATCCGGCCCTGTAAAAACTATAGCTATGCTATACGTGGTTAGCGCGTTCGGTCTGTGTTCGTTGAAGTTCGCAATTGCCGGTCATTGGATGGGTGACCACTTTAATAATGTCGATCTCGGGCCCACGTGGTGGATCATGGCCCAATCTCCCTACTCCATCCATAGATAAGGCATGTGCCCTGAAGTGCTGATGATAAGGGAGGTTTATACTATAATTGTTGAAATCGATGTAAATTTGTCCCTCGATTTCTCCAGAATCGCATCATCAGATCTTAACCAGATATTCGCGGCACTATCTAAAAATACTATATACTACCTTTTAAAACATGGAAACATCTTTTTAATCGATCCAGGTATCTTCTTATTATCGGGAAATACACCTACATAAAACAGAAATCCGTGGAATTGAAAACCTCCTATTTTTTTGTAGCAGTTTTAAACGGTTATTCCCAGTCGTCACCACTGGCTTTGCAATTTGTTGTTTATGGTAGCCATACACACTACGAGAAATCGTTACGATCAGACTGTACAGTTCGAACGGATGGCGTATCGTATGTGGCGTAGGTACGTATAGGAAACTGTGCAGTTTTATAACATACACGCTACGATTTATCCGTACCGTTCGAACTGTACAGTCTGATCGTAACGATTTCTCGTAGTGTGTATGGCTACCATTACGAAAACAACGTGTTTTTTAGTAACTTTGAAAGCATTTATTTTTATCCAGACTGGCAAAGGCAAAGCATCATATCTTCATTTAAAGAAACTACATAAACAAAAAAATCAAAAACCTAAACACATTGTAAGCCTGTCGCGATGTAGAAATAAATCAACGCCATCTCCATTATAGCTACATTACCTACCTTATGTCTGCTCTGCGTGGCTGTGTACATGGTTGATACTGATAGAGTTGACCAATTATAATGAAATAAAGATTAAATTGTTACTCGCATGCGTATTCGATCAATACATATGAAAAGGAACCGGTGATTGCTGACAAAACTAAATTGAAACCAGATGCGCGGAGGGCACGACTTTGTGGCCAACAATTGCTTACTGTCATGAGCCATTTGCTTACGCATGCTATACGATTTTACTGTGTTCTATACAATTTGTAATAGACCTCGAACACTTTTATGAGAAGAAAGCTCGTTCAAGCCACTACTACCGATGTTAGGTCCTGCATATACATTTCCAGAAACATCAGAACACAGCCTTTAATGAATTTCTGTGCCAGAGATCTCTGCGCTGTAAAACTGACCAAGACTAAACCAAGATAATAACAGTTGTGACCTGATCATAGCTTCTGCATATATACCTGACGGCGAGCGGGCCCCACCAGAAATCGTTGCGTCTCTGGTCCGCTTCTGCGCTCGGGAAAACGTAGAACTGATCATCGCGACAGACTCCAATGGCCATCATCCTGTGTGGGGAATGGGCAGATGGCATTGCAAAGCAGCAAAAGAGATAACCAATTATTTGAATTCCTCCTGACTACTAACCTACAGTTAATCAACACAGGCAATGAATCTACCTTCGTAGGCAGACGGTGCAAGTCCATCATAGACCTGACCCTCGCGACACCCAAAGCGGCAACAGCTATATCTGGCTGGCATGTCTCCGATGAAGCATCATGCTCAGATAACCGCTGGATCCGCTTCACACCACAGGTAGGAACTCTATCTCCTACACCCCAAAGGTTGGATACCTTACCTGAAAACCGATAAACACCGTTACGCACAACTACTTTAGGACCTTCTAAGAAACAACTCCGGCAAGAGAAGAATTGAAACCACGGAGCAGCTAGAACAACAGGTAAAACACTTGACAGACAGCATAACGCGTTGCTACGAAGAGGCCTGCCCCCTTAGACTCCCGAACTCGAGAGTATCCGGAAAACACCACTGGTGGCGGCTGGAGCTCGAGAGATTGAGAGGGAAGGTGAGGAAGTGCCTTAACAGAGCAATGAATAGATACATGTAACGACACAGACTGGGACAACTACAAATCTATTAAAGCTAAATACAAGAAACATAACAGATACTGGAGACCAGCCTCCTGGAGGAACTTCGCCTAGGAGATAAGCTCCACCAACTAGGCAAACCGGGTAAGGAAATTGCTGGCCAAGCAAGGCCCTGGCGTGCTGGAAAGCCTGCGTCGACCTGACGGGACATTGTCCCATAATCGGGCTGACTGCGACGCTATCCTCCTAGAAACGCACTTTCCGGATTGCCATCTTACAGAGCAGGTGACTTGGCAAGATGCACCTCCAAGTACAACTAAAGGATGCTGGAGACCAGCGGAGACGGTAATTACGCCTGAAGGAGTAAAGTGGGCTATTCACTGCTTTTTGCCCCTTTCAAGTCTGATGGCTCTGTCGGCATCTTTCCAGCACTACTACAATGGGGCGGACAGGACTTCGTCGATGCGGCTACTCGCATATTTATAATAATAATAATGTTTATTCATCAAACCTTACAAATACTAGTACAATATCATCTTAAAATAAACTAGGAATGGTTTGATATCTTATAGTCTTATGAGTAGGACCCCTGACTTTCATGCTAGGCAAGACCTGTATTATGAAAGGCAGTGGTTCGATTCGAGACACCGAATGACTACAAAAACGTTATTGATTAATGTGTGTGTGAGTGTCTATGTGTTTGTGTGTATATGTGAGATATAGTGTGTGTTGTATTATTTTCATCTATATTTTAAAGTAGTATATGTTCCGTTTCACTGTAAGTGCGTGTTAGTATCCACTCTTTTACCTTGGTCTTAAAATCATACTTATTTAGTTTATTAATGTTAAGAATT